CGAAAAAATTGTGTTCGTCGACTCTTGGTAGTTCTTTGTGGAAATTAAAAAGTATTATCGAGTTGATCCAATAAGTTAACCGCCTCAAATTATATCGAAGACCAGTAATGTTCACATGTTCTAAAGTCTCTAATTTATATTAAATAAGTATGTAACCATTCATTAGCAGAGAGTGTACAGGGGTCGGTGTTACCGTGTAAGCTTACATGGGGGCATATTGTTTTGTACATTAAAAGCAAGACGATGTTGATGTACTAATTTGTTATGAGTTTTCCTTTATTTTACAAGAGTGCCTTTGTGCCCTTCTCAAATTTTGAGAGTTGCTTTGGTGCCTTTTAAAATTGTCTCTGTGCCCTTCCATTTTAGAGAAAATTCAAGGCGATTTCTCACATGCCCTAAAAAAATTGCATTGCCCTTTTCGTCACTTAATTCGAGCCCTGAAAATAGGGATACGAAATAGTACTTGAATTGTGCGCCCATTTACCTCTTTCAAATCATACGCTGTTTATGAATCTCCATTCGCTGGACGGTCTGCAGCCGGATATCTGCGCGAAGCGCAAAAACGCCGACTGGCGGCGATCTAACACGTTTTTCACTGCCCCCACTCGAATCATCTTACCCAGTGCCTTTCGGGTAGAGGATAAAGCCGTATAATCGCTCAATTGAGCAGTTGTGGCGATTCCACAAGCTTTTTCACTACGCACATAGGTAGAGATTTCATAGAAATTTATTGTTCGTTTGCTGGTCGGCTCGCTTTGTTTTCCTGTAGAAAAGCGAGTTTGCATTTTGGGTGTTTCATGCCCTGACATTATTTTCGAACATATCGCGTCCCGTAGATGGCGCCACAAGGCCATGTTCGTGGCATTTTCATGCAGTTTTTGTTCACGCGGCTGCTAGACTGCTGCCGGTGCATACGCTGCACTAACTATAAGTTCAGTGTAGCCAAGGATACTTGGCAGAGTGAAGGTCCGTACCAGTCTAGCTCTATCGATGATAGACCGGATCTGTATCCATGATGGACCGGATGTTCTGAGAGCAAGGCATAGAGCATAGAGCATATATACTTTCGGATTCATACATATCCATGGATATTGCATCCATGCATATATCATGCGACTGTGTTGTAGTGCATGGAACTGTAAGGTTGTTCGATGTGACGAGTCAAAAGCAGCAAAGATTACTTTCCATCGAACGTCTACCACGCCAACGTGGCAAACGTCTACCACTCCAGTACTTAGTAGTACGAACGTCGGTGTTGTTTACTGTTTTTACAAAGGTCTTCTAACTTTTGCAAATACCGTTTGTTGCAGCTAGTAGTAGTACTAGCTCTAGTACTATACTATATAGTATTAGTAGTAGTACTAGTAGTCTCTAGTAGCTCTAGTGGCATGATATAGTAGTAACTTAGTCTAGTACTAGTACTTAGTCTAGTAACTTGACCAGGCTGTGTGACTAACGTCAATATAGGGTATTCTAACCCTAGCAATACCGTTTCTTGTAGCTAGTAGTCTAGTACTAGTAACTAGTACTAGTACTAGTGAGTAGTGGCAGTAGTTCTAGTACTAATAGTAGTACTACTACTACTACTAATTATTGTAACATGTACTTGTAGTAATACTAATAGTAAGTAATAGAAGTATTCGTAGGTCTGCATACAATTTGAATTTCTCCTGGTCAATGTCAATGTGACTTCGTAATGCTAACAGCGCCCAGTCACCACCATACAATAACTGCTTATTTTTTACAGCGGCTGCAATATCGTTGACAGTGCTCAAAATAAGAAAAAAAATGTGGTTGTCCTGCGGACAACCCAGGCATCAAATCAGGTTGTCCGCAACAATTTCTGTTTGTCCCAAAAAAATATCCCCAAATCTCCTATTTTCAATCACATAATATTATGGTCAGAAAACACCCAAAAACAGTGGTGTAGCCAGGATTTTTTAACAAGGGGGGCCAAAAACAGCGAACTGCGCAAAATAGTGGATGACTTAATATTTTACTGGCTCTTTCGCCTCCCTCTCCACACCCTACGGCTCGGCTCCCAAGATATGTAATTGTTCAGTGGCGGGTCTAGGATTCCAAGGAGGGAGGGTGAAAAACAGGCATAGGGGGGGGGGTATGGGGGTCCTCCCCCAGAAAATTTTGAAAATGTAGATCGCAGGAGATGGTATTTGCGGCACTTTTGAGTAAATGTACAGCCGTCATTCTGACTACGACAATTCTCTTTTTTTAAACTTTTTGATCAACATGAATCCCCACTGTTGTTTGTTTTGCATGGGCAAAGCCATCGGAAAATTCAAAATAGTAATGGAATAAAAATACCAAAATGTAGGGGTGAACTTGCTGGTTTGCTGGTTCCAAATAGAGTTCACCTCTCATAAATCAGAAAACCTGACATATACCAGTGTTGGAAATAGCAGCTGGTATGCGTCGCTTTCCCACACCATAGATTAATGGCGGGCCGCCAGGCTATAAGTGCTCTTGGAGAACCACTGAGAAAAACATAAATAAAGTGCGTTTTTCGTCACATTTTTCTTGGTTGTCCACCGGACAATGTCTCAGACTGGTTAGGTTGTCCGGCGCAAATTCTGGTTGTCTCGGACAACCGGACAATGCTTATTTCGAGCACTGGTTGACATATATGACTCATTTGCTATTCAGGATATTGTCACCCAAGAAGAAAAATTACTTGAATAAAATAAATAACATTGAATGATACTATAATTTCTTCTTATTTATAACTTTAATATGTCTAAGAGATAATATAAACAAATTTGGCATATTCTCATTGGTATATTGCTTTTATTTACAGCACAAGTATCACAGACGCCCTTATTTTCCTAGTCCACAAATGGACATTCCTATAATAGCTACATTTAGAAGGAAATTAAATGATTATTATGCTTCTTTTCATCGTTGTAAATAAATAATCTTGAAGACTATGAACTCTGGGAATGATTTATATGTTTTAGTTGAGAATTTTGTCTCGTTGTTGATAAAAACAGACCGATGAAAATATTGCTGATGTTTACGTAACGGTCTGTCCCCTAGACTTCAAGAACAAAATAACACCCCAACAAATTCTGCTGCACCCAATCCCTAAGTGAAACACGTTAAATATGTTGCCAATATTGTTCCTTCTCTGGTGTCTACAAACTTGTCAATGAACAGTCATGTGACCAGTTAAAATCCATTTGTAAGAGTCAAGTCATCGTATCTGTCCCGTTTTCGTGTGTTACGTAATGTAACCTTATGACCCCAGTGGGAATTGGCTGTTTTGACAAAACTATGTTAATGTATATGCATACGTCATCAACATACGGGCACTTTCAACCTCGCAAGTTCATTTCACTGCCAGTGTTGTGGGAAGTGGATAGACACACGTGTTATTGGAATCTGTCCCAGTGTTACGTGAAGTTACGTAAACAATGATTGTGATCCTAAAAATCTTGGATAGTCATCAGTCTAGTGTGTTGTTTGACTCTAATTAATAGCTATTTTCTGTAACAACTGTACATGAAGTGTGTCTGATGTTTTGTCACACGGAAATGAATAAATCGTGGGATGACACAAATAAACAATTTCTGGGACAGATTTGTTTACGTAACGTAGACAGACACCATTTTATTAACTCAGAATATATGTGAAACATACAATTATTGGTATTTCTGGTATTTGAGAAGTCTATGAAGTTTTTGTGCAAAATTTAAGAGGATGTAGCAAGTCTTCGATTCTAATACACAACTTTAAAGACACCGGCAGAAATTGTCTGTCCTGTTACGTGACAAGGGCTATACTGAAAGGTACCTTTAAAAATGTATTTCTTCGTTTAAATGAGTTTGAAAGTAAGTAATTTGTTTTGAAAATAAGCTTAAAGAACAGCAACTGTAAGAAAACTGCAATATATATCTAATTTTATATTGTATAAAGGAAACTTAATGATCAACATGGCACACTTTCTTCATAGAAACTAAGGTCTACCACTAAGGTACTAATAATGAACCATTTTATTAACTCAACATATAAAATTATTAGTATTTCTGGTATTTGAGAAGTCTATGAAGTTTGATTTTGTAATAAATTTTGGAAAAGTTATCTTATGCTTATTATTTTCCACATTATAGGTACCATGCTTTAAGAAAAAAGCAGTATTGGATAAATATTAAGGGTAATTTTCTCAATGAGGGCACCTTTTTGACCGGGCCTCACATTTTTTTATGTCCGGGCCTCACATTTTTTTATTAATGAATTCCAGTAAGCATTATATCCATTAAAATGTAGATTGGGGGTATTTCCACTTGGAAATAAACTTTCAACACTTCATTGCTCACGGTTTTTGAGTTTTAGGCAGAAAAATACGTTTTTTGGCTACATTTTAGAATGTCCGAGATCTATGTCAGCATATTAAATGTCCCAGTTTCTTCAAGTTTTCTACATTCAAACACTCTTATAACCATATTTTTATTTAAAGTTGGTAGGAGTACAATATCCATAGCAAAAAAAAACTATTAAATACACTAGTTTCTAAAAAAAATGAAAATACAGGTGTCCGAGCAAATCCACTCCACTCCGTAACAATCAATGAAATGTCGCCCCCTATTGAAGGGAAGTAGAACTAAGACATGTACCTCATGTAAAAAGTCAGTTTGTGTAACCCCCATATATGTCATGTGCTCTCAGTGTTGACACTTCCTCACAGTTTCTGTGAATTTTCACATCTTATTTCATAATCGGGTGGGTATACTTTCTAAACTCCACTCCATAACATTCATTAATATCCATGGTAACCATGGAACAACTTTTCAAATATGTCTATCATGCTAATTGGGCAGGGCCCACCATAATATGACAGGATATTTCAAATTCTATCTTGCTGCTGAGTGGCTGAAGGTCATTTTGTGTAAAAATTTCAACTCCGTAACACTCCACTCCATAACAAATGACTTTGTTATGGAGTTGAGCTCTACTGTTACGGAGTTGTGATATGTGCTTAAAATGTCAAATATTTGTTTACAATATGATGTCAGGCCCTCTGCTCTTTAGGTCTTTATTACTTTATATAGGATTACACAAAGTTGAAAACATATTTGTAGCTATAGTATCATTTCACTGGAAATGGAATTTTAGTGATTTCGTTACGGAGTTGAAATTTGAGTATGACCCTACTAAATATTTCAACTGTTGTTTACAATTATGATGTCAGGCCCTCTGCTCTTTAGGTCTTTGTTCATGATTACTTTAGATCGCATCAAGGCAGACCGCTGCTAAAAGAGCAAACTTCAGGGGTTTTTCCAGAAATGTCAACTCTGTAACAAAAATTTCAACTCCGTAACAACATTTCAACTCCGTAACATCATTTTGTCGAATTCTAAAAATAAATCTACCAATTAAATGAAATGATTTCCTCCAAAAACCAACGTGGATACTATAATAGTCAAGTGTCTGGTCAGTTTTAAATTGTTTTTTTATGTATGGATCATCACGGAAAATCCTTTCTTTGGAAATCGTTACAGAGTTAAAAGGGCCTAGAGACACCCGGAGATTAAATTCCCTCACCATTAAAGAAATTGGACAAATTAAGCGATGCTCAATTTCTGGTTGTACTCTTTAAGGGCCTGGTCTACCTGTGATAAAAATGTAGAGGTGTTGCTTGCATGTTTTTTTTCTTGAAAATATTCACCAATTAGTGCCCTCATTGAGAAATTACCCATAAAACCATTTAAATTCTGGGCTATCTGTCCATGAAAAATTCTGAATAGCAAATAATGAGCCATATATTAGAAATAGCAACTCCAGATGAGACGGCAATCGCACATGTTTCATCTCGCTTGAACTTCTGCACAGATAGGCCTGCAAGCATTTCACGACCTAATACTGTAGACCAATTGCTTTTAGTTGGGATAGTAAACATAGAGTGGTCAACTGTATGCGATGCTTTTTCTATATGTAAAACTAGCATCCCAGTGAAATACCGTTTATCTGCTTCATTGGCAATGTCATCCGTTAACTAGATGAAGGCTGTATGTGTAGAATGACCTCATGGACCCGTATAATCGCTCAATTGCACAGTTGTGGCAATTCACAAGCTTTTTTTCACTACGCACGTAGGTAGACATTTCATAGAAATGGTCGTAATTGTTCGTTTGCTATTCGGCGCGCTTCGTTTTCATCTAGAAAAGCAAGTTACCATGTTTGGTGTTTCATGCCGCCCGACATTATTTTCGAACATATCGCCTTTTGTCATTATTACGTCGTCATTGTTTGTATATAGGTGAACATTTCTATTTACATGAATAGAGGCGTATTATTTCCGCATGTATTATTATAAAACCCAGCTTATGTATCCGCTGCAGCTGCCGCTCGTTACATGAAGCCGCTGATGCATAATAAAATACAATCTTACTATAATTTGGCGAATGTTGTATGTATGTATGTATGTATGTATGTATGTTATGTATGTATGTTAATGAAAGGCTCCGTCAGTTTGGATCCAAATAGCGCCAAATTTACAGAAGAGGTCGATGAGTACACGGGACGGGTTCTAAACTATACTCGGTTGAAAACCGTTTGTTCGGTCTTAAAAAAGACAAAAAAACACAAAAAGGTAAACATTTGCCTGAAAATAGGGGGCGCTGTTTTGTTTTCGTTCTGTTTGTATTTCGTTTTGTTTCAACAGGTTGTTCTGTTTCGTTCGTGTTGTTCTGTGTCTGTGTGTCTGAGATTTGTGTAAGCCCCATAATGTAAGTAGAAATAACCATGTAATAATGAAGTTAAATATTAAGTAGCTATTTGGCCATAGTTTCCCATATGAGATGTACAAGTTGAATTTCATCAGAGCAGATTTTTTTTTTGGAAGTCTGCAATGCTGTACAGTGTACGGGTGTCGTGAACACCGATCTGTCACAAGCGGTCCGATCACAAGCACGTAATATTACGTCGTCCACACAGAGTGCAAACATGCGTAGAAGTAAGCGATCACAACCACGTACGCAATATTACCTGGTCCGCACACAGTGGAAACATGCGAAGCACGTAATATTACGTTTACGTTATACCCATTCACATCTATCTATATTCTAATTTTGGAGTCCGTATCATCAACCAGTACATAGCATACAATAAAACATTTCTGTGTGGGTGTGTGTATTTCACTGTGTACTTGCCAAACAAATGGTTAATGTGTTACGTGTAAGCATGATTGCACATGTATTTGTATTGACATCTCAACCATAAAAAACAAACATGTGCAACAACTAAACTCTCCATATAACACCTTACACATAACACTACTGCACTGGTAACACATGCATCACAGTCACTAAGCCCGCGCGTAGCGCGGGTTTTAGCTAGTTCATAATAAAAGTTATACATCACAGTGTAGAAGTAGAAGGTGTTGACACTTGATATTTTTATTGAACTTGCAAAGAACAGCAGCTCAATGCAGCTGAGCTGTTCCATTGTATTCCTGGTAAAATTATCGACTGCTCGCTGGCAGCTATGGATCCGTGCGCCGACCTATGCATTCGGCGCACGGATCCATAGCTGCCAGCGCTGCATAGTGTCGTAGGACGTTCCCGCAGTCGCGAGCGCCTTGCCGCGGAACTGCCGCGCAGATGTTCACTCAGCACTTTGGATCAACACCTCCTTTCGGCAACGCTTCTCTAGTATCCCGTCTCATCTGGATTTCCCCCGTGCTCCGTCCACTTAAAAAATGTGCTACCATTGTGGCAGTGGTATCCTGAGTGAGCGAAGAGGCACTGCATGCAGTTTGCATGTTTACATCCACACATGGGAAACTACCTCGAAAGTGTACTGTTTTTGTGACTAATCAACTTAGATTTACTCGTCCTGCAAGAACACAGAAGAATGATCTTGGCTTGTTTTAAAGGACAGAATAGGGGAATATAATTCTGAGTAAACAAAATGATGTCGTTTAAATCCCGCGAAGTTTAGCCGGGTATTTATACTTGAATGGCAACTTTCGTTTGGATAATTGGTAGCATGATATTGTAGAATTAGAAGCTATGAGTATGATCTGACTACAAAATGGGTGAAAATGCTCAAAAAAGTGTCCTGTTTTGCCATTATACCTTAACCAATAGGTAGGAAATTTCAATTCTGTGACGCTGTTGTGTTTCTCATGGCGGGGCTATCTAATCTAGTAATAGTAGTAGTACCAGGAGTAAGATAATATAGGAGGAGTATGACACTCCAAAATACGTGAAATTCAACATTTGCTTGCCTAATTTTACCGATGATATATATACGTGCAACTCGATAAAAATTAAATCTAATTAGGTTGGACATCCACCTCTCACTCCAACTCTACTTAGTTTCCATACCTTTCTCTTTTTATGGAGATATAGCTTTTGAACGTCAACACATGGTTCATAGCTTTTGACTAGGCTTGTGGCTTAGCTTTCCTCGCCTTCCTAACTGTGTTTATGCAAAGTGTGAGGAATGGTCTCTTGCCTGTTCACAAGAAATGCCCCCTGTTGGCGGTGGCAAGCGGGGTGCGTGGATGGGGGTTGAAAGTACGTGTACCGTAACCGCGCCCAACAGGGGGCATTCTTGTGAACAGACAAGAGACCATTCCTCACACTGCATAACAACAGTTAGGAAGGGCGAGGAAAGCTAAGCCACAAGCCTAGTCCCAAAAGCTATGAAC